ACTTGTTACTACTAGCTTCTTGTTACTACTAGTAAGGCACTTGTTACTAGTAGCGATGCACTTGTTACTACTAGCTTCTTGTTACTACTAGTAAGGCACTTGTTACTAGTAGCGATGCACTTGTTACTACTAGCTTCTTGTTACTACTAGTAAGGCACTTGTTACTAGTAGCGATGCACTTGTTACTACTAGCTTCTTGTTACTACTAGTAAGGCACCTGTTACTACTAGCGTGGCACCTGTTACTACTAGCTTCTTGTTACTACTCTGGAGAAGGCGGGGTGGAGACAGGAGACGACCGCAGGCATTTGCTTCATGCGGGTTGGCTCTGCACCGTGAAGCGCTTGTGCGCCACGGATTCATGCGGCGAAGCGGGAGAGCTGGAGAGCTGTGGGTGGGTGTGGCCCCGGATGGCATGGCACGGGGTGTATGGTGGAACTTGGTGAAGAAGCACCACGGTTGTTTCATCTTTGTTTCCACTCCAAGTTGATGAGAAGCAACGAAGAGGAACAACACGGGTGGTGATGCAGACAATGGATGACAGCAGTAGATCGGTAGAATCTATAGAGATACTGTCCACAGAGCAGAGCTCTTAGATATAGAAACTAGAAACCCATGGAACAGCTGACAAGTTCAAGAGGAAAGTAGGCTTCGAAGTAATGAGGTGATTGGAGGGGTAACTGGCTTTGATGCTTCGAAGCAGGTACTTGGAGGCCCATCCGTGGAGGGGAACGGGGGGGTGGCAATAGGGGGAAACAGAAGGAGACAAAGAGACACCTCATCTGACAAAGGGATACACGCTCGGGGACGATCCCATGGACCCTGAGAATATATCAGTTTCGAACGGTTTTGGCAATTTTCCTCTACAACCCAGTAGTTGTGGGGCTTGTGGGGCAGGGTAGATGGGACTTTCTCTCGCCACAGGAAGTTGGTGAATGTCCAGCGAAAGCCCTGACGACTGGCTGGCTGTCATTCAAACATAGGCTTTAGGTGAGACATATGAGTCGTTTTCATGGGCTCCACATGTCGTGACATTTGTTGTTGGTTTCATGAGCTTTCATGATGCAAAAAAGACCACTTTCAATGTCCATACTGCTTCAATGAGGATACCTGTTGCCTATGGCACCCATGGTCAAAGCTTGTTCCACTCACCTCGTCGTGAGGCTCATGCCATGGCTCAACCAAAGCTGCACAGGCAGAGCCTTCGTGAAATCTGCGATGGTGTCGGTATGAGATTTCATCGGTTGGCACTGTGAGACGTTTGAAAGGAAGAAGAGACATGGCAGAGTACTGCGCATCGCATTGCTTGTTGATGTTTGGCATTGCGTGCTTTCGGTTGCAGGTGGAAGGTGAATGAGTGTTCTTTCCACAGATGTTTGGGAGCAAGTGGCTTATGTTCTTTTCACAGGCAGAGGCACAGGACCTGCAGCACCTTCCACCTGTACAGCAACTCAACTCTACGAAGTCAAAACATCCATCGGTGCTCACGACGAATCACCTTTCTGATGCTCACGATGTTGATCCAGCACCTTTGATGATGTTGATGATGATTAATAATACTAATAACACTTTAAGCATACCAAATCATTACAGCATAACATTTTCAGCATCACCACATCACACATATAGCTTAAACACCTTTTCCTTTGATCGCTAAGATTGGACGCTTCAAGCGCAAGAGGACAGGCTTTTGAAGAGAATAAACAGGAAGTTGAAGCCAAGAGGACAGGGAAGGGTCGGCTTTTGGTGACCCGCTCGATGGCAAGAAGTGAACCGCCCAATTTGACGCTCCTAATCACACAATTTTTTGGTGTCCTTTTTTCTGCATTCTGCATTCCGCATACCCTCTTGGAGTTACAAGCGAATTGCCAAGTGACACATTCTTCCTTGGCGTTTCGCATCTGAATTGTCGCGCCGTTCTTGAAACAAAGAACAAATACATCTAGGAGCAAAGGAAGCTACTAGGAACAAGTGCATCGCTTCTAGTAACAAGTGCCTTACTAGTAGTAACAAGAAGCTAGTAGAAACTCGACCCACGCCTTTGACCTCTCTCCTCCTCGCTGCGTTGGTCGTCCTCGTCGCAGGTTCCGGACCTTCGACGTGCTCCTGCCGTGGCTCTTGGAGCCCTGCGGCACCCAGGTTGGACTCGGTGGGTGGACGAAGCGCGGAACGGGGGCAATTCGGTGACCAGGTTTTTCACAGGTTAGGCATCACCAGTGGGGCATGGGTTTGCTGGAGATAATGTGTGCGTGTTCGTGTGTGCCTTCGAGAGACGAGTCTCCACCTGCCCCGATGGCATCTTCGACTCCAGGTCTTTGTGGATTCCAATTATCACAGTGGCTCGGCTTCACACAGATGGGACTCGATCTCGACGCGTCTCCACCTGCGTCTCCACGCGCAAAGGCAGGGCATCACCTGGTATGCAATGGCGACAGTCTTACCATACCCGGTGCCACATCACAGAAAGCTTATAGTATACAGTTGAAGGAGATGCTTGTTTCAAATTGCTACCCTAAATCCTGTGTACCAACCATGTCGGTGCAAGGTGCCAACTCTCACAGATGGCCAGTCACAGATGGTTTCAATCTTTCTGACTTGGCCATCTTGAAGCCCCGTTCGTAGCGTCCTTGCTCCTAGTAGTAAGGCCAGGAGCCCCTAGTAGCGTCCTTGCTCCTAGTAGTACGGCCAGGAGCCCCTAGTAGCGTCCTTGCTCCTAGGCCAACTTGGCCATCTTGGAGCTTTATAATATATATAATCGCTTTGAATCACAGACTCGCCCACACTATGTGATGGGTTGAGACTCCTGTGACTGGTGTGTGTCGATTCCCTTCTACACGTCCTGAGTCACTTGGGAAGCTCTTCAAACAGGATATTCATGGCGAACATGATGTTCCGAGTGCCGCTTCAGCCTATTTGTCAGCAGTCCTCACACCTTTAATGGATTGCATACCACTGTTTCGGACACCTTCCAATGAATCACACAACCTCCGATTTTCCCTCCACGCCGGTCCCTCCTTCGTTGGATCAACGCTTCCGCTCGACGCGAGTCAGAACGCTCGACTCGACTCGAGACGTCTGAGATACCTTGGAGAGCACCTCGATTTGGCCTGAAGAGGATGGCGTTTGTCGCTGGTGTCCCCTCCTGTGCGCTTGGTCAACACGACAGACGCGAGTCGTACGCCGTGCGCTCGTCGCTCGCGCGCGCGTCGTGTACCGTCGTGCCGGGCCCACGGTTCGACGAGGGAGACGAGGGTGCAGGACCATGTTCAGTTCATCCACCTTAAGCAAGACCCTCATTAGGTCATTAAGTCTCGTAAGATTTGGATCAAACATGACCTTTGGCAGAGAGAGACGGAGATACCGCTGGCAGTTTCCAGGTACGTCCCCTTCCAAGGCGCTTCGAAGCAGGAGTGCCCGATCACTGCACTCAGGCACGGAGTACTGGTTTCGATGTCACAACGTGTTTGCGGCAGAAGACATCAGAAGACATCAGAAGACCATTCTGCCCCTCCAAAAAAACTGTATGCTTTAGTTGATGTCGACTTTGAAACCATCCAAATCACCTAGGCCGGCAGGCCCTTTTGTATGGACCTTTTTTCAGGGGCCGGTCGGCGCCTTGGATCTCTGCCCAGAACGCTGGTACAGCTGGTACTTGGACGGATCACCACAGCACTTGGTCTAAGGCATACGTCTCCGCCGCAAACCCTTTTGAGCCTCCCAAAACGCCACACACCGAGAAATCTGTGGTTCGTTTCCCGAGAATTCCCAGCTGAAATTGATCGACCGAAGCCCGAGAAGGCGTTTCTGCGATAGAAAGGAGACCCAGCGCCCTGCGCCCTGCGTCGGGTCATGAAGAACCGTCGGGTCATGTCGGGTCCAAAACCGGACC